CGCAGAATCCAGACTGAGTGGGTGTGGGTGTGTGGGGGGGGGGGGCCCTTGGACTCCCAAAGGGGGGCACACCCTGTCTCCCGTGGGGAAGGCAGGTGCTCAGTCTGTCACGGTCCCTTAGGTTTTCTGTAAACTTCCAAGTTACAGGGCGCATGCTCCCCACTGAGCATGCTCCGTACCTGACTCAGGTGACCCTCACAGGTCGCAGCCCTGCCTCAGTTTCCTTCTCTGTAAAGCTCCCCCTTCCCCCACCTGCCCTGGGGAATGGCAGGCTGATTGAAATCTTGTGACGCGCTTGGTGAGTCAGGAGGGTGGAGGCTGCTTCTCTGGGGCATACACGGCTCCCTGAAAGTCCCTTGTGCTACCCCCAACACGGCCCCCTCCTGCCCTGCCCAGAATCCCGGAGGGTGAGGAGGGGCAAGCAGGCACCTCTGCTACTAGCTCCTTGGCCCTGGTGCTGCTGCAACCTCGCTCCTCGTCTTCTCTCCAGGCCCAAGTAGTTAATTCCCGGCTGTTGCAGCTGGTCCGCCCATGAGGGGTGTAACTGTGGGTCTGGCACCCCCCTGCAGGGGCGCCTCGGATGCCTCCTGACTATCTAAGCCCCCCTGCTCTGCCCACAGTGCGCCGCCTGGCCAGGAAGCGGAGGGGGGGTAGTGCCGGCGCCGAGGCCCCCCTCAGCCTGGCATATAAAGTGCACGTCGCTTCGGTGAACAACTTCCCCACGGCGGCTGGCCTGGCATCCTCGGCTGCAGGGTATGCCTGCCTAGGTGAGTTGGGCGGGTGGGGGGAGCCCCGCCCCGCCCCTGGATCCTCCCCACTTGCCTCCAGGCCTGTCCCTAGCTCTGCACTCCCCTCAAGTCCAGCTCCTGGATGGGGGGCCACGTATGCTCTGTCCCGGCTCTCGGGAGGAGGTGCTCTGCTGTCCTACCTGCCCTGCCCCGGGCTCCTTCCCCCAGCTGTTTGGGGAGACACGAGGCTGCTCCCCTACACCCCACCCTCAGGTCTTTAGGGGCACGCCGCAGCTGTTCATGCTCCCCGCTCTGGAGAAGGGGCGCTGGGTTGTCTCCTGCTGCCCCGTGGCCTGCCCCCTCTCAAGGGCTGAAGGCAGGACTGTCCCTGTCCCCCAGGCTGTTGTGGAGTTGAGAGATGCCCAGGGATTGGTTGGGGGGCCCCCTGCAACGCTGCCCCCTCCCCGTCCCGTGTCCCAGTGCACACCCTGGCCCGGCTGTACGGCGTGGAGGGCGAGCTCTCCGAGGTGGCCCGCCAGGGCTCGGGCAGCGCCTGCAGGAGCATGTTCGGGGGCTTCGTGCAGTGGCTGATGGGGGAGCGGCCCGACGGCAAGGACAGTGTCGCCCAGCAGGTGGCGCCGGAGACCCACTGGCCCGAGCTCCGAGTGCTCATTCTGGTGGTGAGTGAGTCCGGGTCTGGCACCCCTAGGCCAGGGCACCAGCCAGCCTGAGGGGGGCAGGGCGAGGATTGTGGGGTGGTGAGGAGAGAGTGGGAGCTAGGACGCCTGGGTTCTGTTCCCAGCTCTGCAAGGGAAGGGCGGGTTAGTGGTTAGAGCAGGCACCTCGGGATCAGGCTCCTGGGTTCTGTTCCCAGCTCTGCAAGGGAAGGGCGGGTTAGTGGTTAGAGCAGGCACCTCGGGATCAGGCTCCTGGGTTCTGTTCCCAGCTCTGCAAGGGAAGGGCGGGTTAGTGGTTAGAGCAGGCACCTCGGGATCAGGCTCCTGGGTTCTGTTCCCAGCTCTGCAAGGGAAGGGCGGGTTAGTGGTTAGAGCAGGCACCTCGGGATCAGGCTCCTGGGTTCTGTTCCCAGCTCGGGAAGGGCGGGCTAGTGGTTAGAGCAGGCACCTCAGATCAGGCTCCTGGGTTCTGTGCTGCAGTCCTGGGCCTGCCTGGGCTGGGGGTGCATCTGTGGAGGGGTTACTTCCAGACAGGACTCTGGCTAGCAGGGCTCTCGCAGGTGGGGGCTCTACGGGCCTGCCTGGGCTCTGGGTTTTGCTGCCCTTGCTGCGCCCTCGCTTGGGAGGGAGAGCGGCTGCGCCAGGGGTGTGGAGGCAACGTGGTCTTGGGGGTTTAGGTGCGAGACGCTCCCAAGAATATAAGGGGGGGGGGGCTGATCTGCTGCCCAGGCGTCCGCGGGCTGCTGGGCGGGGGGGGGC